TTTCATTGCTAATCCAAGGTGGTTTATGAGATAATTTTCGAGGCGTAGACCAAGGTACAAAAGGTGCCGTGACGCACTCTAGTGTATTCCTAAGTCCCATGCAAGCCTCCTCGACAGTCTGGTGTGTGTTAACAGACCAGTCAGCTTGGGTTGCTGCATTTCGGATTGCAGGTATATTCGCTTTCCAAACGTTTGGGTGAGCGGCTGTTAACCTATGTATGACGGCCTGGATCCTGAACATAAAAGTAGTAACTGTGTGGTCACTACTGCCTAGCGGCGCCAGGGACCTAATGTTACTGACATCCTCCTTCTGGTGTGTTAGCACAAAGTATAGAGTGGACGGATCATGTTCAGGATGGTATCGTGTTGGTGCATCCATATGCTGCGCATTCAAGTACTGCCAGCACTAGTTCCCTGTTGAAACAATTGTACGAAGTAGCTGATGTTAATTCCTCCCAATTAATATGCCGGGCATTAAAATCACCTACTATTAGACACCTATTCTTTCTATTCCACGTCCTGAGGTGATTTATAACGAAATTGTCAGCTTGTCTGGTAGGACTTCTATAAATAACCCCTATCGTTACAGTGCCTTTGTTCAAGTTAATGACAACCTGCGGCTTCACAGGTGCCACTGTCATCAGCTTCCGACAACGTCGACCTAACTCCTTTGTTATCTCGGATGTATAGAGCGAGCCCCACCTTTCCGACTACTTACTCTGTTTGCTCTATTGCAGATGTACCCAGGTATGAATGGAGTTAAGTCTGTACCCATTAACAACCATGTTTCGGTGATAGCAAGCACATCCGGCTGTAGTTCCTCAGTCAACACTCCTAGTTCGAGAAGCTTATTCCTAAGACTACAAGCGTTCGTGCAGCATACTGAGAGACCTATGTATTCACTCGACTTATGAACAGAGGTCTGGGCAACATAGGTTTCCGAGACCTCACTACCCGAAAACCCAACAGTTTGAGGTCTTTTTCACCTTTTTCTAATCGGGCCTTTAATTCAGCCACTGGTTCTCTTCTCCTAATTCTATCTTCCAAAGGCAAGTCTGGCCTAATTTTCATCTTTTTATTCTTGATCTTGAATGCGTTGTTGAGAATAATAGTTTTCTCCATCTCGTTCCCCAGTACTACCTTCAGCAGTTGTGGGAAACTTTCCGTTACATCGGCGATTCGTTTACCGATTCTGATGAGTTTCCTTATGTGAACACCATTTGTTTTTTCTGGAAGTATTTCACGGATGATGGAGCTAACTATTTCGAGATCGTCAGCATGTCGAGCAGCTGGATCTACCTTCTTCGATTCCTCCAAGTTCCAAATTACTATACTGTCATTTGAGTCCGAAGGTTTAATCTTATCAGTGTTTACGGCCGTTGAGACCTTATCCCTTTTCTCTTTCCTGTGATTCTTGAGCTTCCTATTCTTCGGCACTAGCCAGGTGGAATCAGATGGTTCCACTTTACTCTCGCCGCAGTTGGGAGCCGTGCGTTCACTAGACACGCAACGCTTCATAGTTGTGGTATCACCCTGCTGTCTTACAATGCTGGCACTGTTTGCCGTCCTAGGTTTTCGGGGCTTTTTGTGTGCTGTCGCAGACTGATGGGCACACTTTACCTCTGTTGCTTCTTTCGAAGCTAGGGGATATGGTTCTGTCTCAGTCTTATGACTAAGGCCAGAATTCTCGCTTATAACATCTGTACTAGATGCTGCATTTTTCCCCTCATCGGTGGTTTTTGGTAACTTCTTGGACATGAGCAGTCCTACAGCCTTTTGGATGAGGACATCCAACGGGTTTGTACAAAATTTGCACATCCACGGAGATGATGGCTTGCTGCATCTCCTATAGGCTGATGGTTATAATCCAGTGTAAACTTTATGGAACCATAGGTTGCAGTTATCACACTGCATCTCATCCTCCACCGGAAAGTGGCAGTCCGGTCGTCCACAACTATTTGTGAGACTCATGTCAGTATAAGCTGTTTAAGTTACACACAAATATGTATATATAAACCTAAATGCTGGTGGTGTATAACTTCTTGGTTGAGTGATTTCATTTAATAGGCCATACCATACAATAACATTTGTTTGCTGATGGTGTTTTGAGCACAATTTACTGCTTATGATAATACTGGTTTGACCCAGCGAAATAACTTTACATTAGTTGGTATTCGGTACGTTTTTGTTTTGTCCCTTATTGTCAATATTCTCTTTTAGTATTCCGAATTTGTTCCTTTGTGAGTGCTTAGGTTTTCTATAGCTCTCTGGCTACCACTATGTTACGTACCTTGCATAAGGTTTCGGATATTCCTTCGTTATGTGGTAACACTTTAGATCTAAACCGTCAAGGGTTTACATTCATTACTACTTCCTTCTCTATAAATTTCATGAACCTTTTATTAAATTCTGGAATTTTTAGTTGCTACTGGGGTCCCTTCTATGTTTTGCTTCTTTGTTCAAACTTAGTGTTATCGCTTGATTGTCTAGCCATTTAATCCTGTCTTTGGTGATAAGAGAAAATGATATAACTGACTGAGTTTCACTACAGAACTTTACACAGGAATGCACCGTTTTAAGTCGCCACGCTGCTTGTAGAACAGAAAGGTAGAAAAAAGAGATTTAGAGGAACTATAATAAACAAGATTGCTCTGCGGAAAGAACAGGAGCGTAGAAAAACACGAGAGTTTAGTGGATGTGGGCGACCAAAAAGAGTGCATGCATCTGCGCCATCGAGGACGATTTCAAACCATATTGCCAGTAGTCCCCAGTCGTTTGCTAAGGATGCTGTCGAGACGATGTACACCTCCATACGCAGCTCAAATTAACAGTCAATGACTTCATAGATTGATATCAAGTTTCGATATGACAACCCTTAACTCTCTTCCAACCCAATTGTATGTAGTCTGACCTACCGATAGCTGCTACCTTGACGTGGTGGTCGGGCTTGCATATCGCAATGACCCAACGAGCTACACTGGCTGGAACTTATGTTCCTGTAGGTCCTACCATGCCAGAAAGGTTGTTTGGATAGCGGTTAGACAAAAAAAATCCAATACTACACCGTCTCTGGCGTAGACGTGATATCCGATTATCGACCAAATGGCGTGTGAACTGCTCAGCGGTCCGCTCTGTCCTCCTTTATGGCTGTGAGACCTGACCATTGAGGGCGGAGGACATGAAAAGACTAGCTGTCTTTGATTATAGGTGTCTACGTTCTATCTCCCACGTGAAGTGGTATAATAAGGTGGGCAATATTGAGGTTGGGCGTCGAGTGCTAGGTAAGGAGGCGAAATCAGTCGACGAGACTGTGAAATTACATCGACTGAGCTGGTTAGGACATGTGTTACGTATGCCTAGTCATCGCCTTCCTCGACGGGCAATGTTAGCTAATATATGGTCAGGCGGGAAAAGAGGTAGCGGCGGTCAAACGAAAACATGGCACCAGTCAGTGAAATCTACAACGGTTAGTCTAAGCCACGTAGGAAGGTGTAGACTTCTTGACTGGTTGGGGTCCTCGGGACGGTAAAAACCAATGGTTGGAAACAATTAGTGACATGGCTCAAAATCGTTCTCAATGGCTGGTGCAGATGCATCCACTCCTTGTGACTTATGATTTCTAATTAAACTGTTTTGTTCTTCGTTATTACTATTCCTTTGTCTCACACCTCTGTTTACTCTCTATATTATGCATTTCTCCTACTTTCTTCTCTTCCTTTGTGTGCTACAAGAAGTGTGGCGACTTGAACTGCCGCACATATGTGCAAAGTTCTATGTCGAAAACAGACAGTCTGAAATTGCCAGTTGAGGGAGGCGACGACCTATTATCCTCAATGTTTGGTGGCTGTTTCAATAGATGTAGCTTCCCTGGCAGTATATCTAACCTCGATATTACTCACCATATCCTACAACTTGATAGAAAAGACAGAACGTAAACAAATTGTGTCAAAGACAGATAGCCTTTCCATATGTTCCACCTGCAATTGCCACAACTGACAGCAGTAAAGGAGAACAGGGAGAACTGTTACCCAGTACACACTTTATTTGATCGATGGGCGGAAATCTCGCTTGCGCCAAAGATGATATAAGTCGTCTATTAACACGCAAGACATGTATCTAAGCTGCGATTTTGTCAACAATCAGTTTATTAAAGCTGTTACGACTTCGCAAACAGGCAAAGTGGTCAACATGCTGAACCATTTCACTTCGTATCTTGAAACTAAAATTTGGTGGAGACCAGTCGAATAGTATCCTCTCGAACTTGGCATGGCCTGACCGCATGCCAACCACTCCAAGATTTTATTAACCAACCTATGGTTATTATTTGTTTCTACTGAAAGCCTGTCAGTTAATGTGTTTCCCTCAAGACCCTTTTACGTCAGAACGTCTCTTCCACAACAAACTTTATCAAAGAAGCCTAAGTGGATGCCTTAGGATAACCGCAGACTGAAAATATAATAAAGTTGAATCAACGGGTTAGCTTTAAATCAGACTGTGCAAACTTCGGTATACAAAGATGTTTAGTCTGGCTAGTGATTCACATAAAATAACCCACTTTTCCGACTCGAATAAACCCATTTAGTCTCTTAATTGTTGTAGGGTCAGTTATATCTGAGGCTATTCTAAACCTATTTCCAGGCTAAAGTCCTGCTTCTAGTTGATAATTGTGTGACTACAGTACGGTGTTTTCGTCGAATAATCATTGTGAGAAATAAGTTGCCTTTGCATTCTGGGAAACTGGGACTAGTAAAGGTTGAAATGAGGTGCAGTAACTAATTGATTATATATATATATATATATATATATATATATATATATCATATGTCGTTAGATGTTAGAAGCATTCACAGTTAGAATGTGAGTTAGTGGTATGTCAAGTAACCAAATTTGAGGTTCTAGTGTGATGCATTTTTCTAACACATTACAAGTTTGAAATGCATATATTGATGTGTTTTTGTTCTTTAGATACATTTCTGTCTCAAATTCATTCAACTATTTCAATGCAGTCTGGACAGCTGCGACGTGACCCGCCCCCGATACAACCATCGTCAATTCAAAAGGTAATTTTTCAGTGTCTGAAAATGATTAGTACTTCACTCAGTTTTTTTTTTTAAACAATGCACCTGTAAATTATGACATAAACTCTCAAAAGATGTTTTCTGTTGGGTTCAATATCTGTGATTTGAAAGTCTATTAAGATTACTGAATTTCAGGTTAGCATTATTGAATAAAAAAAAAAATAATGTAGTAAAATGCGTGTAATTACTCGGTTGTCGAATGAGGTTTTTAAACGTTTGGAGCACAACATCCGGTAATGTTGAAGTTATTTCCAAATTACTTCACAGTTGATAGGGTTTCAGGCGATTCCAACGTTTGTGAAATTGAATGTGGATTGACTGCTATTCATTTTACGATCTGTGTGCGATAGTTGACGCGTAACTTTTAAATTTATTCTGCTCATGGCTTGTTTTTCACGAGTCCAGTTTGTTCTGCGCGGTGTCTTCCATCCATACCACATTTTAATCTTTCCAGGATGATAGAGCATAATATTTTGTTTGGAGTGGACGGTAATATGATTCTGCGTTAGTTCATGATGAAAGGTGTAAGTTGCTGCTTTTGGTAATTGCACAAAGAAGTCTCCCTTCCATTTGACAGGGACCACCTCTCTTCCTTGCACACCAGCACAAGTGGCGTGAGCGTGTTCACTGTAGTTCATAGGTGCTTTTGAAGGAATTTCATATGGTTCCACTGCTTTCTTGACCCTCAGTAGTAACTTTAGGACCCTCAAGAATTCTGTTTCCAACTGACTCACGAAAACTGTTATCCGTGTCATGTAATTTGTGTTCTTCAATTGTCTAAATAACTGAAAATATGAAAAAACTATTTAAAATAATGGAGATTTGTATATCAGGTGGATGATTTTGATATAGTTGTGTTCTCTGAGCTGGTTGATGTAATTGATGGGCTCTCGTTGTCAATCTAGACAACACCTGTAGCTCTCCGATGCTGAAGAGAATGAGAGAAAAGTGTCTACTAACTAAGCTATCAGCATCAAATAGCGAAACGTCAGTAAAAACAATATCGTTTTGTTTTTCATTTATTGGTAAATACAAAAAACCCTTTATTATAATGAATATCATATACCCAATGCCTAGATTTTTTGAAACTGTGGACTTGGTTTCGACATATATAATCTATTCACCGTCTTCAAAAAGAATGAATACCCACACATACACAATTTCATCATAAAGTGTTTGAAATCAAGTCATAATACCAAGAAGAAACCATCAACGAAGATCACGAGTTCATTCCACCATATATAAAGAATATCTCTGAAATGACGACTAGAATACTAAGACCATTTGAAATAAACATAGCACACAAGCTAACCTTACATAATCACTTCATTCGATATTGTGCAAACCAAAAGATCAAAGGGAAAAAGAAGATTAGTAACATTTACAAAATAAATTCAATAAACTGCTGTAAACATTACATTGGTCAAACTGGGCATCCACTTCCTGTCCGAATCCAAGAACATAAATCAGCTGTGAAGAGGCATGATATGTATTATCTCATATCGATGCATGCCTATAATTATGGACACGAACTTTGTGATTGAGATAATGTAGAAATGTTAGGTAGAGAAAACACGAAAAATGCAGTCAGGAAATTTCTAGAAGCCTGCTTTGTATCCAGAGGAATATTAGTGATTAACGAACATACTAGTGACTAGGGACCGAATTTACTAACTAATCGTGGAAACAAGAAAGTTAGAATTCCAAGTCAATAATAAAAATGATCAATAGAAGCAGATGTAAATTAAGAAAGAACGAATCACGACAAATATCGTCTGTCAGGAGACACTATTATACCATCATTCATGAAGAGAGAATTCAAGTAAGTTCATTTCATTCTGAAGCCTGTGCTGAAAAGGGGTGTTTCCTAGATGGGAGACAACGGAAGCGCTTTGCAATTAAATCTACAACCAGTCACTTATCAGAAAGCACAACGAAATCCAAAAGCCTACTTCTTGTTTTCTGGGCGATATAATTGCCCTACAGATGTCTTAACCGTTTCAGTCAGTACAGATAACGCCGCTAAGTTTGAGCTTTTTTTTATTACTTTACGTTCCCTATGGAACATAAGGCTTTAAGCTTTGAAGTTTCGGTAGCAGAGGTTTTATTCTGGGATTGCTGGTCACACGCCCAACCCCCTCTCCATACCGAGTTGTTTACTGCTGGTTTAGGAGTTCGTCAGCCGGCGGTCGAATCTCGGACCACGTGCGTGGTTGGTTAGCGGGCATTCTGCATTTATGTTGTGTGTTTAAGGAAACTCAACTAATAAACACACACGTAGTTATCCCTAATTGTTACATGACAGTCATTATTGATGGACAGAAGTGATATTTGAATGTTGGGAGTTATCATGCTGTTTATCCCCGTTACCATCAATATTAGCTGGTGAGTGGAAAGCTCTCAGTTTAATGTATCATGGCTTCCATTAATCATCCCACCATTTATTTGTGCTTAATGTCTTACAAACTCTAGTATTTACTGGTGAAAACCAACAGACTGTCTGAAGAAACAGGCAGAGGAAACAGGATTCCAGGTGGACACAGCGAAGACGGAGGTGATGAAGATATGCACCAACAGCAACAAAAACCAGCTGCAATCACCGTCAATGGGAGGAATCTAAAAGAGGTTACTTCCTGCCTTCACATATCTAGCTAGGAAGCATCGTCTCAACCACAGGCAGTCAGAATGGATGAAGATGTCGAAGCCATACAGACAAGGTTGGCAATACAAGGTAGCACACCATCAATCTGAAATCAGTTTGGAAATATTTTGCACTAAATATAAACAACAAGATTCAGATTATTCCACACAAATGTTAAGTCAGTTTTGTATAGGTCAGAAAAACTTGGCACGAGCTTCATGAAAAACATTTCCAACAGACTACTGCAGACCTTTATCAACAGCTGCCTTCGCCACCTTCATATTGAAGATCAAATGGCCAGAAAGAATTAGAAACAAACATCTGTAGGAGAGAATCAACCAACAAGCAATTGCTCAACAAATATGCAGAAGCTGATGAAGATGCATTTGTGCACACGCATCTGAAGAGACCGTTGGATGACTTCGCGCTCAAGGCAGGTCCTCACTCGAGTGGAACCCGAATGGGAAACGACGAGTGGGTCGTCAGTGCAAGGGTGACATGGAGGAGGTCGTTTCGGGAGGAGGAGATTAGAGATTATGGGCAATCGTGGACTCAGCTAAGGACGATAACAGAAAATAGGCCGAAGTGGAGATGTGTTGCTGAAACCCAACGTTCCACTCGGAACCTCAGGAAACAATAATAATATAAAAAGTGACTAAACATCAATGTGGATATAAAGTTATAGGTCTTGTAAGTGACTACTTGACATAGATTTCGGGTTCGTATGTTTGTGTTCAGTATTTTAGATTGGTTTTGAACTAATTCGAGTTGTGGTTAACTTCTATTACTTACCTCCATATCACAATATCATGAACGAATTAAAATCGGTAATCAAAAACTATCATGGACTGAACAAAAACATTTCTAATCAAGATTCGATGGTACTTTGATGTATGTGTATGTTATTTAGAAGTCAAAGCAAAGAAGTAGGCAAATACCATCAAGCTTACAGTTTCGCTAGTTTATATATTTGTTCGTTTTAAGTTTCAACATAAATTTGTTCGTAATAAAAGAGTCTTTTCCAATACCACCAGAATTTCTGCCAAAGAGTCGCAAACAGCTGTCCAGTACTTCCAGATTTTCCAATGGTTCTCTAACCGATGTCAGCTCGTGATGAATTCCTGTAACCAATCAAATACCTAAAAGCCATCACCTGAATATGGATCTGATGCTCACCAGCGACTGCCTGTATTCAGGTAAGTAGTTATCTGGGTTGGTTCTAATAGGAGGTCGTGACCAGTGGGCTAAAACAGGTCGGTTGTGAAGACAAGTACTCGCCAAAGATGACATAAGCGGGTGGTCGCGCTATATCATGAATTGGCAGAAGTTGGGATTCACTGGCTGGCCATTGGTAGGTTGCCAGTGGCTTAATTATCTACGAGCTCGCACGCCTTGTAACGGAAAGGTCCTGAGATCAAACCCTGGCAGTAAGTGGCTGCGTACTGCTGAAGTGGAGTCTCAAGCACTAGGCCGACGAAGCAACTGTCTGGTAGTATTCCCGACTGGCTTTACAATGATTCTCTAACCGATGTCGGCTGATGATATAATCCTGTAACCAAACAAATCGTTGAAAACCAACACTTGAATTTCTATTTTGCGTCTGTTTGAATTCGTAAATGAATGATGATAGTAATAATAATGTTGAAAAGTGTATATTAGTGAGGAGTAACTGATCATGATGTTTCATGTTGCATCGAATTTATTTTTTTTCCACTTTATACAGATGTTAGATGAAAATGTCCGACTTATCCACAGTCTTATAGCACACCAGAGAATGGGTGCAACAAAAGAAGCAGCAGAATTAGAACGTGTTTTGCACCGTAATCTTATCTATCTGGCAACAATAGCTGATCGTACAACAGTCCAACCTGCGGGCACTCCTCACCCACCTCCTACTGGGTTACCTCAGCCCAATCATCAAATTCAAGGCTCCGCTCCCAATTACGCCGCACAGCATGTGGTCAATGCAACACCGGAAATTTCTCAGCAATCTGTAGCACAACCGCATCAGATTACAGTTAACTCTTCAATGCACCATCCCGTACCTGTGGTAGTTGGATCTACTACAATATCTACTGTTGGAAATCCTATCATGTATCAACAGTACTTAGTTTCATCGCATATTTCAAATAGTCCACAAGTCAATAATTCACAAGTGCATATACCAGTGATATCTGGCCAACTTCAGCATCATGAACGGATGCTCCAACCGCTCAATGGAAAAGTTGTGCATAGTGAACATATTAGTAATGCTTAGACTGTTTTTATCAAATTAACACTGTTATGATTGTGTATATTCCTTTTAAAAAAATATCAGACAGTATTTTATTTTATAAAATAATGTCCGTATGGTTTAACCTTTATTATATATTGCGATCAGTTTCTGAGGATTCATTTGGAAAGGATGTCGTGAAACACTTCTACTACTAATGATAATAATAATACTAATAATAATGATTAATCATATCTAAAATAATAATAATCAGTTGCTCAGCAACAGATAAGCTTAGCTACGCTGACAGTGCGGTAGCAGGGGTCCATCTTTAAAAGTGCGAACCAATGCTGGAATGAGTGGACTACTCCTACTCCTTAGAAATCCCTGTCACCAAAAACTAAAAGTATTGGTGAAATCGGGTTTTCTAAGATCTGCAGATTGATTGTTTGATTGATAATCGGCCAGCATTTTTCCTAGGTGTTCAGCGATAATTTTGAAGCCACACAAAGGTAGGTAGTTCTGCCCCATACATACGCAATTTAGTAGTAGTAGTAGTTATTTGAAATCATTATTATGTTTACTACGCATCATTCAAATAGCACGGTGTGGGTATTGAAATCCACTCTGTACGAATAGATATAACAAAAAAAATAATTAGCATTTGGGATACAGCGTAGTTAGTAACGTCTCACCGCCGGAATAAATAAAATATCTTACCTAATATCGGCTTTAAGGATTTCATTTCCCTCTATTTTCAAACATTTCAGCTTTGTTTTAACTTGTACCATTAGGGTGTACTGAATATTATAACAGGTGAATAACGTTCACACTCGACTCTATAGCGTTGTAAAAATTCTAATTATCCAATATATTGCTTCCACATTGCAGTGTGACTTATTGACTACCTCATAAACATACAGAAATTCGCTCAATAATGCATCGTCATTGAAGCAAGCAAAATACAAAGCATTCTTGGCGAAAATGTGCAAATTTCATCTCGAGGCTTCTCTTCCAAACTAGAGACAGCTGTGCGTCGGTGGCACATTGGTTAGGACTCTCGCCGACCATGCACGTGGTCCGGGGTTCGATCCCCTGCCGGCGCACACCCGATATCTATGGTCGGCCTGAATTTGGACTACCGATATCCATGCTGAAAATTCCATACTTGTACTGAAAATACGGTGTGAAATCAAGCTGTAAATCAAAAAAAATATGCATAGTATTAACGAAATAAGAACGTTGGCATTTGCCAACCAATCTACGCCATCTCTAGCCTAGTAGACGTGATATCTAGCTGTCAACCGAAAGGCGTGTGTACGGCTGAGTAGTTCGCTCTGCTCTCGTTTACTGCCGGCTGTAAGACACGGCCACTGAATGTGCCAGGCATGAAGAGGTCGGCCGACTAGCTGTCGTTCATAACAGGTGTCTGCCCTCTATCTACATCCTATGCTATGTCAGGTTACGTGGCACGTGTAATAGGGTGAGTAATATTCAGTTGATTTGGCAACGGTCGAGCAGCTAGGTAAGAAGGAGGGAGATTCATCAATCGACGAGGAGGTTGTGAAGCAGTTACATCGACTGAGTGACATGGTTAGGACATGTCTTACACATGCATGCATGTATGCACGCCTGCCCGTCTACCCATTGATTCATCCATCCATCACCTTCCCTCACCGACGGACAATCTCACCTCAGCTGACATAGGATGGATGAATGGATGGAGTGTTCAGATTGGCAAATGCTAGCCAGCACGTTATGGTGGTGGTAGTGCTGGTGGTCAAACCAAAAGATGACTGGCTTCATCAGTTCAGAAAATCCATGATAACAGTTAGTTTAAGCCAGCACTCCAAGAACTTCTCACTGTGTTCAAAAAAATACAGAGGGGTCAGGATATGATCAACACACTCTCATCCAGACATATCATCCCATCCGCCATAATAATAATATCACCATCATGAGGTTTCAAGATCTGACCGGTAAGTAATACGGGTTGATGCCAGCGGTCTTCAAATACTCATGCCAGTCAGTAGTACCTAACGTCATGGATAAGATGACAGTTTTGAAATCTAATGTAACAGCTGGGTGGAGGGAGAGATTGATAACGGAAGCTTTATTTATCGTATTGACTGCAAACACGTGTAATAGGAATGATTCGACACCTGCACCAGATATCTAGAAAATTTGACTACCACCCCTACGACAAATGGGGAAGAATAAACAAAACTCAAGTTTCGAAGTCGTGTGATCGTAATTCATGGTCTGATTATGAAGAATAAATTTTGTTCGAAAGGTCATCCAGTAAATACTACTGTTTCACTGTGATATATCTAATGAACAAATTAATACGGAACTGCAAACTACCACAGTGACCAAGTTTTACACATACATTAATTAGACTACATATTATAAAACTCATCTTTCATCTCAACCATACTCTGCAGTAAGTGGGCGTGTAAGCGGAGATTATTCAAAGTGGTATCACTACTACTAAAGAATCTTCTGACACTCGTCAGCTGACCTTTATGCATATCTCAAACATTCAGCCTGCATTCAAAGCCTGAGTTGTCTAGGTTTTGACTAATAAAACTTACTGTTCATCTACACTTGAGATACCGACGTTGAAAGCTATATTACAAACTTTCGGAGTGGTTGTAGGAGACTAGGAACGATGTTTCTTTGGCTTTAGTCATTGACTGGGATCAGAGAGTTAATATAAAAATAAATAAATTGTCTCAGGAACAATACTGGCAATGAGGGGGAATGTAAGAATAATAATAAGGTGTGTGTATGTATGTGGGGGTGTGTGTGGTAGACAGAAGAGTTGTGTGTTTCGGCTGATTGCCTCGCCCCGACTGACCACAATGTAGATTTTTACCTTTCGTTGTAAGCATCTGTAAGGGAAAAACGGTTCTCTTTGGGGTTAACTTTTTGAGGTTGATCACGTGTAGTCTGTTTGAAGGTGGAGTTTTGTCCGTGCAGAGGTCATTACTCTCTCCTACGTATGGCTGAAAGACCAATCAGGACGTATGCACTCATGCCTCCACCTTCTCTAGGTAATATTTCACATATTCTGAGTTACATGCATTCCTTGACGAACAGTGTTAGAATTAAGTGGGAGTAGAATTACGCTTAGTAACTATTCAGAACTTATGACTAAGCGTCCGACAACGCACCGAAATTATCTATTCTAGACCTCAGTGGAATGTATTATATTTTATTTTCGGCTTCGATAATTCGCTTCTAAAATTCTGGATGAATAGACAACCAACTTCACTAATTAGCCCCGTTCAGGCGAACGAGTAGGAAGTTGGTAGACAACTTTTTTGTTGTTGCAGAAGTTAGCAGCTATGAAAATCGGTGCGTTTCGGAACAAGTCTACTCACAACAATAGATTAGTTAATTATTTGTGAATGCAGAGACAGATATTTGCGCAATCTTTACGAATGTATTTCAGTATACTTGGCGGTTCACTAATGGTAAGTTTCCCCCAGTAAAACAGCACACACACCAGTCTCATTAAGCCTCTGATTCTGTGATTAGCAGATTAGCTTGTTCAACCTATGTATATCTTTAAAATCTCTTGCTATATTTTCAAATAAATCATATCAGTATTCTAATTCCTTTATTGATTCACCAATGAAACGCGTGAAATGACTGAAACATTTAATTATTACATTCATTTTCCCAGAGCATTTTAAACAAAGCTGGAGGGAAGATAGTTCTAGGATGAAGGCAGCATATTTTATTTTCATACAGCCGGTTCCCTTTATTAGTTTGAATAAAGAAAGAACGAACATAGTTGCAGGCTAATACGACGAGCTCGCTTTATTTCGTGGATTCTCCTCAACTGCATACATCCTAAATGAATCAATTATATGTTACAAATGTGCGTCGGTGGCATAGCAGTTAGGACGCTCGCCGACCACGCACATGGTCCGGGGTTCGAACCCCGGCCGACGCACTCCTTCACCTAGCCAGGCCAAAAATAATGCTGGTGAAGAGGGAAGGTTGGGCATGAGGCTAGCAACCCCATCCTGTAAAATAAACACTGCCACAGAAACTTCAAGCCTCTAGCTTGAAGCCCTATGTTCCACTGGGGAACGTGAAGGATAAAAAAAAAATATGTTACAAAATGGTATCTGAACACACTTTTTACAATGATTTCTTGTCATAGATAGGAAGCATAGGCAATAAAATTTCACAGTTGATGTAAGCAGACAATTACTTAGTGTTAAGAGAGTAACTATTTGCATAGTAATTAGACCAAGGGGTGTAGTTCTGATTTCTCTTGGACACAAGGATGCACTAGAGGCGGAATACAAGATAGAACAACAGAGTTAATTTATACATATTTTGGTAGAGAATTCATGAGAGTAAGGGTGAGTAGTGAAGTAGAATTATAAAGTAGATAAAATAATTTAATTTAGCAGATTTGAAACCTCAGTATCTGTATTCGCTTGAATTTCAACGAGAAACCATCGTTTCCGTGTATAGTCGCATTCGCTGTTTTCGAATGCATCACAGATGGAACGACAACAGACATGCTTGTTCTGGGAGAAAATAAGTGACTTAATTTGATTCATTTCGTATTACCATCAAACAGAATGTAGGCCAATTCTATCTGAGGATATCTGGGAATAAATGAACAGTAGGAGTCATATACAGTAATGATGCAGCTTGAACAAAACGCAATCAAGTGTGTGCATGAGGTGAGTTGATTGTTGATAGAATCAATGGACTGGGGATATAAGGACAGGTGTACCCTCTTCTTTTGAACAATATTCTCATGACGCGATGACCAGTTTAATGGTAGTGGTGACAGTAATCATAGTCATAATAATACCAGTATTCCTACTACCATTATTATTATTATTATCACCATGATTATTATTATCAACGGTACAGTTTTGAGCACTCCTATTTTTTGTTAATTATTTTCATTATCACCACTATTATTAATAGTGGTGGTAATAGTCGTAGTGGTAGTAGTGGGATTGTTGATGTTGTGGTAGCGTATCATATTCAAATAAGCATAATTCATTCGCGGTTGAAGATAATATTTGTTTATAATTCTCTCTGCGAATTCCACCAAACAGGCTGGAAATTCCAAAAGTCCAGGTGAGAAATCTTCAGTGGTCAGTGCTATGACTGACTCCTATCCAATACTCGTTCCTTGTTCTACATCACCTGACATTTATTCGTCATTCTAATCACTGTCAACTTTTCCTGAGGCTTGTCTTCGAATATTCTCTCAGTCAGTCAGTGGTTACGATAAGGTGAGTAATTCCCTCAAACAACTTCAAATAATGAAAAGGCATTTTCATCCTCTCTCTCTCTCCCTAGATTGACTGAAACATTTCGTAGTCACTTACACCATGCGAATCAACATCATCAAGTAATCTAGAATCCATTGTGGTCATTTCATCATCCATAAGATAAAATGAATGTGCCTTAGCAATATCAATGCAATTTAACCTCACTTATCTCGAGTGGAATCAGTTTGCATAAGCGTATACTATTTGTTTATCTAACTTGACCGAGAAAGAATCAATTCTCATTTCTGTATTCGTCTGAAGAATGAGAATGATGCATGCAAGCGTTCATGGGTGTGTTTGTGTACGTGCGTGTATGTAGACGATAAAGCCGCGCGTGGGAGAAAGAGATAGAGAGTGAGTGAGCGAGTGAGTGAAAGTAAACATGCATGTCAAAGATTGAAGAATAAAAAATACACATGCTAAATACCTTGTTTGTTTAGCCCTAATGATGCATGCATATCGACGAATGTGATCTGTGTTTATACTCGATACGTGGCAGATAGTAATTAGATTAGACTGGGAAGTTGCAGCAGTGGAAATCGTCAGGCTATCACTAGCCTTATTTGTGGTAGTAAGAACAAGGATACCAAGCGGGTTATGTAACCAATATCTATGCTAACATATCTAACTTAGACTACACATTCCACATTGTCCTTTCTGATGGCTCGATCAGGAAACAGAATCCATAGGGTAGTGTCATAGATAGCAGGATAGAAATATCTCGCATGCTCAGCCTACCGGATTACGAACACAATTTCCACATGCACTCTAATCTGATGTTGAAAACTAAAAGAAACAAGGCTTTCAAATCATTCGGGTGGGAGGTGGTAGTTGAGTAAATGGCTATTTTCTGTTTTAATGATGACCTTTAAGATGAACGCATTGAGATGAGCAGATTTATTATATTTATGATGACGATTTTAGGTGAGAGCGAAATCAACCATATGGTTACTTTTAAACGCTGCGATCTAGTTATAATAGAGTTAAAATGTATATAAAAAATTAACAGGTACTGCTGGTTGACGTCATTGCCTTGCATTTACTCATATCAATCTGCAGTGTGCACGTTCCTGCTTTCTTGAATTAATATTCATGGTAGTAAGTGGGTTAAATAGTATGGGCTAGTAATGACCGTTCATATTCTAAAACTTTTCTTACAATTCCTTATATAAACTGATTTTCTCACAAGGACATATCAGACACTAGTGGCAACCTCTTGACACCAAGCGACACTGAGTACTTGTTTCATCCTAGTTTGGTACTCTTAGTTGACATGCATCTTATTTGCATAGGTGACGGGGATAGTTTTCAACCAAATATTCTACTTTGAATTCAAAATTAACTCTTGTTGTCACAAATATTTTGTCTCGATTTACATTATTATTATTATTATTATTGTTACTACTCAGAACCGCTGTTTTACTTTCCTCCCGGAGTAAGTTTTCTTAGCAATCATATATTTACAATTGTACACTTTAGTGTGAGCGAAGTACTGGTGAAACAACCATACCAAAAAATTTCTTTGATGCCTCTTTTAATAACTGATTCACCTAAGCTGTAAACGACGATTAGTCAAATACAGATATGTCCTTTCAATTAGCTCATACAACTGTTTCAGACTAATTTTACATGCCTTTCCACTGAGTATGAAATAAATTATGGTAAGTATACGCTCCAAGAGAACGTCCCTCCTAATATTTAAGCGTAATTGGTACTATCATAAACAGTTTACTCACATGCATAAACGGCTGAATGAAAATGCGATACTTAATTAGAATGGCAAAACTCAGATTTAGAAAGCAAAAGGATTGAGGATTATTCAATCTGATTCAGTGTGTGGTGCTTGAGTGTTTTCTCATTCGGTCGAACTCTCCTGAGAAGTAAACACAAGTAAACAATAGAACTTGGGATACAGCTTTGTTTCAATGCACTCGATAATGAAATCCTAAGAAGTTCTCGCTTCACTGTACTTCACATACTCATCGAGCACCTTTAACGCGAACTGTTGCTCCGAAGGTTATAATACAGAGAGAATCCCCATTTAGAAAGCAAAAGGATTGAACACAATCTGATTAAATTTCATACTTAAACGAGACGTCACTGTATCCTCATGTTGGCCAACTATAGAAAACCTACACTGAAACTTATTCACTTTGTAAAAGCTATTAGAGTTCAGCTTCTTTTGTTTTCATTTCACGTTTCCTATATTATTTCACAATGATGTTATTTTCGCCTTTTCGCAACTCACTCCCACCCCTCCACTTTCAACATTCTCGCAGTAACTGTTACCAATATGACACTTACGAATTCTTGCCAGTGGCACATGTCGCGCTAACATTAACTTTTCTATTTATATCACTTCGAAAACATAATACATAATCACGCAAATAGTAGAATTCGACGTTCCAGTCACAAAAATACGTACCCCAATACATGTCATGTTTTCTCAATCATTTACAGATACATGTACCAGAAGGTTGTCAGTTTAACTTTAATACCTGAAAATAAATACAGACGAAAAAAAATGTTAGTGTTCATCAGCATAAATGGTCAGTAGTCGGTCACTAAGTTCTCAGAATAATTATTCACAGTAATAAATAAACACACGTAAATACATAAACAGCCATGGCCATGTGAAAACTGTGGTTTCTTGATAATCGAATCCTAACCAGTTGACTGGTTAGACTGTGGGGTTTTCCTTATTCAATGTGCTACTTTCATAAGGATAGTTTTCAAGACTTTATTTGTGAAAGAGAACAGACTTCTTTCTTTCAACCAACTGCAACCTAATAGGGGTCTTTTCGAAACAACATTCAAGCAAATTGGATAACACTTTTTTTATTCCTTTACCTTCTCAGTGGAACAGGCTTTGAAGTTAGAGGCAAGGAGGCAAAGGATCGCGTCGGCCGAGGATCGAACCCCAAACCGCATGCGAGGTTGGCAAGCATTCCACCGCTGTGCCACCGACGCTTCGATACCATACGCGGATAGATTTACCTGGAAGGTGATTAAAGCACTCAGAGGACAATTTACAATAAATAATAAAAAATCGGTAGTTCAAATAACTAACTGTCAAGTATATCTCGATCCAGGAAACCTACTCTTAAGTAACCAAAGGGCTATTGAGTCTGAAAAGCAAGTGATAGGTACCTGTGTCTATCATTGCTTTCAAAAAGAAGGGGGGAAAATACTCCAACTAGTCTGAATCTTACAAGGATGTTCATTTTTTCTGCTTAAACAGAAAAATTTATTAGCGACATTTCGAGACACACCTTGACAATGTTCACCCATAATTAATATCAAAGCCAAAACTTAGACCGTAAGATAATCTAATGATTTTTCTAGCTCTTAAAACAATAGGCACACACACACATAGGAAACCTACAACAACAGATCAGTACACTCATTTTTCCTGTTTTGCACCTTTGAAATGCAAACGTAACTTGGCAAAGTGTCTGGTTAATACAGCTAGGATAATCTGTTCAAACGACTCCCTCAATGAGGAGCTTAAGACTACTAGAGAATTAATTACTTAGTAAAAGTGGTCATCTAGATAAGTTCATTGAGAATAATGTGAATTTAGCAACAAAACAAGTCACTGGGGCAGAAGCTCCAAAAAACCATTATTCATAAAACTGCAATTCCTCAGTGATAGCATCAACAAGATATAAACACCATGCTGGAAGAATGCAGTTAAAGAGCTTTCAATGCAGGTGAGGTACGTTGTCTGTTCACTACCACAACCACCACCCCCCCCCCCCATAAATGAAAAGCAAATATCTCCTCACTAAATGATTTTGCTACATCTATACAATCAAAACAAGAATATTGACAAAGTTAGATTAATTCACTTACAAAGCATGAGCCACATTCAATTATTCATCGGCTGTTGAGATAATTTCTTACGTGACCGTAAACGTGCAGCGATTGGTTTGTCTTCACTAGAATACAAATATGTATTACAGAGAGTGAACATTAGTTGGAAGTATGAAAACTAACTCTGTCAAACAGACAAAAATCAATGGCGTGAAAATAAGATAACCAGCAAAGGATTAACGCCAGCCTTCAGCTCACCACAATAAATTCTAGAACTTCGTCAGAAAAAATAACAGAGTTCATAGATCATTAAATGAAAACTCAATGGGCGGATTTTCAAGTTTGACTGGTTCCTGATACATCGTCACCAACCGACAAATCACACATGACAATAATTCCAGAGTGCTCGGTTAGTCCCAGAATAGAAAAATTCTCCATATTTCACCCTAGTATATGGAGGCTTCTTGTTACCCGACACACTAATCTACTTCTTAGTATATGGAACTCCAAGCACTGATTTGCACCACCACCACACTTAATGGCTTCAAAAGTTTTCTCAAACCTAATCCAATGTCGGCCAACTTGCTCGTCGAGGAGGGTGATGGCTTCGCATGAGCAACACGTCTCCTAGCCATCTCTATCCCAATCGATGTAGCTTCACAGCATCACCCGTTGACCTTCCCTCCCTCCGTAATACTCTACACCTAACCTCAATATTACTCAACATATTATACCACTTAACACAGAGAATAGGACGCGAACATCTCTGGTTAAAGAAAGCTAGCCTTTTCATATCTCCCACTTTCGATAGCAATGTCTCACAGCCAGCCATAAGGGAATACAGAGCCAACTGCTGCGCAGTACACACGTTCCATAGCCGGATATAAATACTAAGCCGGAGATGTAGTAAATTGGCAAATGCCATATGAGCCATTTGTATCTACGCTAAGTTCCCATCACCAATAGGTCCACTGGGGCTGATGCAACTTCCAACTTCACTTCTTACCTTTAAACTAGAACTCGGTGAAGATCAGTCCTGCGGCATTATCTTATGCTTAACAGGAGTGAATCGCATGACGAACATTGGCAGATTTTTTTGTTTCCACATCGAACTTTTTTGGTACAAGTATGGGATTTTTAGCATATAGTATCGGTAGCCCAAGTTCTGCAGGCTGACCATTGATATCGGATGTGCGACGGCAGGGGATCGAACCCCGGACCATTTGCACGGTCGGCGAGAGTCCTAACCGCTGTGCCACCAACGCACAGCTCTTAAACCGCTGCATTAGTCCCAGTAGGGCACTTTGATTAGTGTCATATACTTTCTCGACACTTTCCTTATGGCAATGGTGCAGTTGCATCCACTCATTGTGATTTATCATATCCAATCAAATTCTATTGTTCTTCCATATTACTTTTCTTTTGCCTCATATTTCTGTTGATTTTCTTTTTTGAATCTCTCTTCTCTTGCTTTCTGTGCTACATGAAGTGTGCCAACTCGAATTGATGCACCTCTATGCAAAGTCAAACGCTGAAACCAGTCAGTCACTTTCTTCATGACCAAACATCGTCGCAGCACTTCTCACTCGACGGCGTCACATTCCGATGTCGGGATAACAATATAGAGAAGATTCGACGTCAGTAAGTACCCCTGTGTTCCAAAATCCATCAGAGGCTGATTATATGATCGACACGATTTCGTCTGTCTTTTTTGGGCATGATTATTGAACCTAGAACTTTAGATACAATATTAGCCAAACTGATTCCCACACGATTATCACAGGGAGACTTTTCCCAATTCCTATACACTTGGAAAGTCATTGATTTACACCAGTTCAACGGAACTATCTCTGCATCTGAGGTTTCACCGAACATCTCAGTGAACCCAGACAGCAGTTACTAATCACCACAGCTCTTACACACCAAATACTTGTTTGCTGTTGCAGAACACCAGATGCAGTTTGAATCTCGACAGTTTTGATGCCCACGACTGCTCAAAGTCCTGGCGTATACATCCCAGCAGTTCGAGGTAAAGCACCTTTCACTCACCATCATGTCCAGAGAAGACCACCAACAAGCCTAATGCCCAGATCATGTCACAAGAAGCAGCAACACTTATCACCGTTTCAACAGTAGGCTGAATAATAAACGATGCGTCCAACGTTAATTCCCATCCGAATTCCACATACACATCTACTTCATCCCCCATCCTGTGGGAACACACAGCTCTCGTCATATTCCCCACATCGAGGCTTCGTTCGATTTCCTTGCAACGGCAGTCACACCAAAAACAACTAGCTGATCTTAGAGTCGAGACATGCGCCACAGCAACTAAAACTAACACAACTAAATTATCCACGCGTACATCAAATACAGGCAATGGTAAAGATTATTGATCCATACCATCCATAAGCGACTCAATGAATTTGAGGCGCCCAATCAGAGTTTGCGTGAGTTATGATGAGGTCATAATGGAGAAATTGAGCTTCTTACTAATAACTAATGCTGTTCAAGATCTATGGAGCATATTCAATCCGGGAAAATGCCTAGAACCAAATCCTAACCCTAGCAGCTATAAATCTCATCTCGTAACCCTAGCTGCTGGACGTAAGTTGTAGTCATTTCTATGGATACGCACATTCCTATTTGGGAATGGCAGTTATTCTCGAGGCATCTCAAATCACGGAACCTGTTCAACATTCTTACACTTCTTCAAACTTTCTTTCATGAACGTAATTTCTTCACACTGTATATTTATGAATTATTGAGTCTACTACTACTTTCTTCAACGCCCTTTAATCAAGGGTAGAGATAAATACTGCATGTGCTACAGTATCCTAATTCTATCGGCTATTCCCATCTGTAACAATGACTAATTTAACTTTCATTTCTACTGTGTGTCTAGGTTTGCTTCAGAAGCATTGGATTCTCCGCGTTATTTCCGAACATCTAGATTGCGGTTATCATGAGAGAAGTGTGAGACGTGGTTTTCTTCAGCTCAGACTGTTAATAATGATGACAGAGTTAAGAGAAGGTGGAACACCTAACTGCTCAGTGCTATCGATAGTAACAGGAAAACAAGATGAAGATGGACGATGATGATGTTGATGATTCATATCCTTATGAAAGTGTGTGAGTGGTTACAACCTGCCTGCTGGTTGCACACACCAAACTGATTCTCAACCGGAAACTTTCCGAAAACCATACAGCAGTTCCAATTCGCTACCCTCCATATATACATACATATATACATATGGAGTACCTGCGCCATTGTCTTCCTACACTTATTGCCTATTTACTCTTTGAATTTACCAGTATTCACTATTTTGAGGAAACAGTTATATGACATATTTATATATATATAGATATATATACATATATATATATATACATATGCTCGTCAGTGTTTCACCCATATTTGTATTCTAGCAAGATAGTAAAAGCTTTCCAGTAGATATCGATGCGTTCAGTGACAAATGCCTAGTCGACTTTAACTGGAACTTTACATTCACCTAGAATGAATATCAGATTAGGTCAGTATAAGAAGACAACAGTTAGTTATTGCAATCACTATTTATAATTAACTAAAGGAAAGTCTTTCATCTGTTATGTGGAGGGGTAACTACACTACCTCTGTGCAAACAATGGGTAGCTGACTCCTACTCACTTACTTCTCACTTCTGAAAGACACTTAATTAAAGCACAAGGAAGTCGAAACTATAAAATAAACTATCGTAACGCATAACACATAAATCAGCATATCACTCAAAATCAACAATTCAAAAAACTTACGTATTCGAAGCGATCCTTTCCTAAAACACAACAATTATAATAACAATACAGAATTGATACTGCAGAACAAATGTAACACTAGTTCTCACATATATTTTCATTCAAACCAAAAACTTAACACCTTCAGAACACAGATAGGTAACAAGACAGTCACAGTGTTCCAAATAACTTGAACAAAAATCTCAGCATGTTCGGTAAGCCCAATAAATCGTAGAAACAAAAGTCTATCGAAAACACTACACTGAGGATACCTTTTAACATTAGCATCTCTAACAGCAGACATATTCAATACATATATGCATATATATTATTATTATTTCCTTTAGTTCCTAGAGGAACATAGGGCTTCAGCCATGCGTCTCCATTGCGTTCGGTTCTCTGCTAGAGTTTTCACTTGGCTCCAGGTCTGCCCACATGCTTTCATCTCCTCTTCACATGATCTCCTCCAGGTCACCCTTGGACGACCAACTCGTCGCTTCCCTTTCGGGTTCCACTCGAGGGCTTGTCTAGTGATGTCACTTGCTGGTTTCCTCAGAGTGTGGCCAATCCATCTCCATTTCTTCATGCCTATTTGTTTCACAATCGGTTCCTGGTTGGTTCGCTCCCAGAGATCTTTGTTGCTGATCCTTTCCGGCCATCTGATCTTGAGTATTGAGCGAAGACATCTGTTAATGAAGGTCTGTAGCTTGTTTGAGGTGCTTTTTGTGACACGCCAAGTCTCTGATCCGTATAGTAGTACTGACTTCACATTGGAGTTGAAAATCCCGATTTTATTTTTGACGCTGAATGATGTTGATCTCCACACAGACTTGAGAGTAATGAAAGCTTGCCTTGCTTTCCCGATCCTTGCTTTGATATCCTCGTCAGTTCCGCCTGTAGTTGAAACAATGCTTCCCAAGTAGGTAAAGGAGGTAGTTTCTTTCAGGTTCTTTCCATTTATGCTGATTGCTGTCTGTTGTTGTTGGTGGTGGTGTTGGCCAGGGATCTTCATCACCTCCGTTTTCTCTATGTTCACCTGGAGTCCTATCTTTGATGCTTCTTCTGCCAACTTGTTACTTTTCACTTGCATATCTTCCAGTTTGTGGGAAATCAGGCATATATCATCGGCGAAGTCCAGATCCTCCAAGTTCTTTGTGTGAGTCCATTTTATGCCTGTTTCCTCATTGCCCGCTGTTTGTCGCATTATCCAATCTACCGCAATCAGGAAAATCATTGGCGATAGTAGGCAACCCTGTCTTACTCCTGTCTTCACTTCGAAGGATTCCGTGAGCTTCCCGTTGTGGATTACTTGGCATGCAGCGTTGTCATACAACTGTTGGATGAGATGTATTAT